CAACTCTTGCCCACAGATGCCACACATGTGACTCCTCAGGCCGATCAGACCAGCAACCTGACCTCTGCTGGACTCCATCCTGAAGACGACCAGCGGGTGTACCGCAGTTTCAGGCCCATCGGGGTCAGGTGACATGAGGAGCCAATAAGGTCCTCTCTGGCCCTAAAGAAATGCAGGTTCAAATGGCTTGAGGCAAGAGGTTTGGCGTGGGAGAGTAAGTTTGTTTGTTAAAAATTATGCACGGCTTTGATTGTAAGAAACCTCAAGGCAGTTTGCAGAAGATAAAACAGCAAAACTGAGGGAGAATTGCAAGCCTGCTTTAAAACATACAAAAGCTAAAATACTAAAGCAGATAGAAAATGCCTCAGGGCCGTGAGTTCAGTGTGCTCATGCTGTTGCCAGTAGGTGGTGGTAACAGGACCATTGCAACAGAGGAAGAAGGCTAGGAAGAAGAAGATGCTTCAGAGAAGCATCTTCTAGGTCCTAGGTGAATACAGCCACACTCTCTGGCCCGTGAGAAAGCACAAGACAAGCAAACCAAGAGATATAGCAAGCCCCTAATAGCTCACCATACACCACGAGATAGTTGCCTCATCACAGATTGTGTAGGTGTCATGAGAACTAGAAACCTTCTTTTCTTAAAAAAAGGGGGGGAATAATTTTCTGCTTCAAAACTATGATGTTAAGCAGTTTATAAACGGTTGGGAAAAGCTAAATAATTTGAGGTATTGTCCACTTTTGCCCACTTGTGACTAAGAAGGAGTCTGTGTATCAGTTGCAGTTTCTCTCAGTTTCGCATTTTTTCCAATCTTCAATTCAGTTCTCCACATTTTCACATTAGTGAAATGATATTAAATTAGTCAGTGATATTAAAAGAATTAGTCAGTGATATTAAAAGAAAAGAAAAGAAACCCTCATGAATTCATCACTATTTTAGTGTGAGTTTCTCCAAATATATTTATATATTTCATACAATTCATACACTACTTGAATGTAAAAAACCCCCAAAAGCAGTTTATGGGTTAAAGCAGTTCAAAACAACCATTTAAAATGTTGAAATATATATATTAAATTAGCAATGAACCCCCCCCCAAAAAAAAACCAGATTAAAACGCACACAGCATTCTCATGAATCTAGGTAGGCTTATCTAAACAAAGGCACCAAAAAGGTGCTTGCATGACATCAATAGGCAGGGAGTTCCAAAGTGTAGGTGCTGCCACACTAAAAGATTGATTTCTTATTAATGCAGAACACGTATTATGTAGCACCTGTAACAGTGCAGTTTTATGGATCCAAGCAGTTGAGTGGGCCTCTATGAGGTCAGGTGGTCTCACAGGTAAACTGCCCCCCCAAGATGTTAAGGGCTCTATATACTCATAGTAGAACCTTGAACTTGGCCTGGTAGCAGTTTGACAAGCTGTGCAAATAGACACAGCTTTGTATGCAATTTTGCCTCATTTGCGCTTCCTTGCAAAGCAATTTCCCCTGGTATACAGTCATACCTCTGGTTGCGAACGTGATCCGTGCGGGAGGCACGTTCGCAACCCGCAACATTCACAGCCTGAAGCGCTGCATCTGCGCACGTGTGTGACGCTATTCGGCACTTCTGCGCATGCGTGTGATGTAATTTTGTGCCTCTGCGCATGCACAAGCGCCAAAACCTGGAAGTAACCCGTTCCAGTACTTCTGGGTTCGGCGTGGCCTGCAACCCGAAAACGCGCAACCCGCAGCGTTCATAACCCGAGGTATGACTGTAATGCAGTTTTGTATCCTGCCTTTACTATTTGCACTTGTGTGCATATGTCACTCTAGCAGATGCAACTTTGCACATGTGGCTTGGCAGGAGAAATGCCTTGCAACTTTTGCAGGATTGCGAAAGATGGCTGTTCGTCATTCCCTGGAGGTCTCCCCCCCCCCCCCGGAAAGTGCAAATGAGGAAGGTCCGCTTTTAAAATATGAACCACATCGGACATCTCTTCCCATCCCCAGGTGAGAATGGCCACATTGCCTTTTGTATCACTCCAGGTTTCTTCTTTGAAAACAGCTCCCTCGAAGTGTCTTCCACAGCAAAGAAGCCAGCCGAGAGATAACAGAGGATGTTGGAAAACAAGCGACAGCTTTGATCAGCATTTCCTGTGACAACAGAGCCGAACCATCTCCCTGCCAGACTCTCTGCAGGGAGCCAAGAACCAGGTTTCGAAAACATTTCTGTGTGGGAGCAGAATTCCTCTCGCTTCAGCCGACTCTGGCAGCGGCAACCATAACAGGATGAGCAGCCTCATCCCCTCATAAATCTGGAGGCAGAAAGGGCCTGGTTCAGAGGGTGGGAGGAAGTCCTCTCAAGGAAAAGACCGGCCTTGAATGTACCAGAATGAACGTCCCCAGGAAAACACCGGAGGGAGCTGTAGTGTGAATGTGTGTCTGTGTTTGCTTAGATGCTGTCAAACATTCATACCCCACACACCTATTTTTTCTAAAAGGATTTTCGTTTCATGCGTTAAGAATCTAGGGTTGTTTCCAGCTCAGAGCAGACCAACTGAAATTAATGGACCCAAGTTAGTTGTGTCCATTCACTTCAATAGGTCTACTCTGAGTAGTATGTGTGTTGGAGATAGCCCATGGATCCTAGCTAGGGATGGGTGGAGATAGGTTCAATTCACTTTGCATTTAAAGGCAAACCTCTCCGATTCAGACTTCCCCAAGAAATATGTGTACCAAAGCAGTCCTTCGAAATTTGCAGCTTTCTGAATTTTGCAAGGACGCTATCCAGCCAAGTAAAATCCATATAAAGTTGCACATTCTGGAGTGAAATGTGCGTTCCAAATGCACGCCGTAAGTGAATACAAAGAAGCATCCTATTAGGGGAAATTGATTTGCAAAATTGTATGTGCTAGGACAAATTCACACAAATACAGGGATGGATTTTCATGAGGACGTTAAAAAAGAAAGGAAAAGAAATGCAAACCAATGTGGAGATTGGAAGGTAAGGTTGGAAAAAATGAGCAACTGAGAGGGAATCTAAATGAATAGATTTTCCCCTTTCTTGGCTGTTGCCCCAGCTCTCTTTCAAAATAGATAAATACATTAAGTGGAAAATTATTGCAAAAAATAATATCCTACATTAAGACGATGAGAAGTCCCCAACTGAGATTTACCCAGAGTAGGCCCATTGAAACTAACATACCCTATTTAGTCATGCCCATTAATCAACACAATGTCATCTAACCTCCACCAAAATAAATAAATAAGAATGAATGCTCAATAAACAGGTTGTCTGGAAGCACCGCCTGCATAGTTATAAGTGTAGCACTTTGTATATAATCATATATAATAGTTGCCTAAGCACCATCTTAACATGCCCTTTCCACCTTTAGTACGCACGATTTTAGCCTTACTTCCAACCTCTGAACATTTGTCAGTTTATTTGCAATCCCCTGTGGTAGCCTTCTGCAAATGTGGAAAACTACACTGGACCTCATCCTGGACCATTGATCATAAGAGCCAGCTACTACGGGCTGAGTTCTGTTCACTCCCCCATAAAATATTTGAGGGGACCAGGACGCCCCCAAAGTTGACAGGCATTGCCATTCAAATGGCGTGTGTGTGCCACATCTTGTGATCAGTTATGTGGGATGGGGCTTACCTGGGTTTCCTCCTCCCCGTATTTTATTTAAGTTGGCACCCCTGACCAATGATCATGCTGGTTTGGGATTGTGGAATGGCATCTGAAGGGCACCAGGTTGGGGAAGGCTTTCCCAGCTGTGCAAGACTCCCAAGTAGGGACGTAAGGATTTGTCACTCTCAGTTCTCTCCGTTTCTCATTTTTCTAGTCTTAAATTCAGTCCCCCACATTTTGGAAGCAATTAAAAAAAGAAAAAATCCTGCTCAGCATATTCATGGGAAATTTTGTATGCAGATTTCATGGGTGTGTACATCTTTAAGACCCATTTCTTCTCATTTCATTTTTATGCACACTTTTACCTAATATATGCGTGCATATATCATGTATCATGTCAGAAAGTGCAAATTTGACAGAGCTGCCTTTAAATGTGAACTGGATGTGAAATAAAGATACATGAGAAACAAGTCAGCCATGCAATAAGAAGTTGCAGCATAGGGTTCAGGATTCCATCACTCCACGAGGTTCCCCCTTCCCACCATTTCTCATTACCACCACACAACAATCAATCTGCATTCTGTGGCCATAATCACAGAGGCTGTTTTGAAGGTCTTCCACCCTTTGGGATTTGTTTTCTCAATATATTTTTTAAAACAAAAACAAAAACCATGGATTTCCTCCCACATATCCAAAGCTTCCTGACATCACCTTCTTGTTTTAACTACATATGGATTGGCACTTACAACATTCCAAAGGAACAGAAAAAACTCTTTATGTATGCGACCGCAGCAGCGCGGATGCTACTAACCCAAAGGTGGAAAAAAGAAAGAGTCCCTACCAGAGAGGAATGGCAAACTAAGCTGTTAGATTATGCTGAAATGGCAAATCTGACTGGAAAACTCAGGGACCAAGAAGACAATAAATTTAAGAAAGAATGGGAAAGGTTTATAATTTATTTAGGAGACCACTGTAAGCAGATGAAAACAGCGGCAGGGTTTTCATCTCACTTGCAATGTAAGAAATACTATGGACAATATGGATAGACATAAAATGTAGATTATGAAATAATATGCAGTTGAAAATGCTGACAATAGGACCTGTGGAGGGGATGGGGAGGGGGGAGTCCCGAGATCCAGAGTAATCTCATTACATGGATGTGCATTTGGTATGGTTATAAATTCATATTTGTAAAATCAAATAAAAATGATTTTTGATTGGCGCTTACAATCTGAACATCACACACAGAAAGAATGATTCCAGCTAAAGAAATAATGATTTATTTAATTAAACAACAACAACAACAACAACCTCAAAGCTGGTTGTCCCTGAAAACCAAGAGGCATAAAAAGAGGAGAGATTTGGAAGAAAATCCTCACTCACCGGCCATTTCCGTGAAACACAAAAGCAACTGATACTTAGCCCACCGGCTGCTATCCAATGTTCTTGCTTCAGGCAGTGTCCTGCTCCAGTGGGGGTTCCCCGCAAGCCATTGTGGCCGTCGGGCTAGTAGGGATATCACCGTGAAGCCGCATTGCTCCCAGAAGACTCTGCCCTGGCTGACCTCGGAGGAACTCCGCTCCATTCTATGTCATGTAGCTCCTGGGTGAGCATCAAAAGCATTTGCAAGCCTTTTGCATTCCAAAGGACAGGGCCTGAAAGGAGGATGAGGGTCCCTGCTGGGTGGGTTGGATTAGGAGTGGTTTTAGAGAAGCCTTTTCTCAACAATATCATTGGTGCAGCGAAAGCAAAGTGCCAGATTAGCAGGTAATCCTGTTAGGCTGAATCAAAACCCGAGCATCGCCTTCCCCCACCCAACCCACTGTGAATACATGGATACGACGCATCCAGCCCACCCACCCAAGGATGCCACAGATCCCCTGATCCATTAAAAAGAGGGCAGATCAAGCTCCCTTGTCCTCTGCCGCTTCTAGGCAGGGTAGCGGGGGGCATAGGGCGGATCAAAGGGGAATGTTCCCCAGCTGCCATTGTCAATGCTTTCTCTCTAGAAGAGATATCGGAAGGGGGTAGGAGACCAGGCAAGGGAGCAGAGGGACGCCGGAAGCACTCTGCACAAATGCCATTCATCCAGTGCGAAATAATTATCCAAATTCGGATCCAGAAGGCAAGAGCTTAAGTGGCCTTGCTAAATTTATTCCAGGGCTCATGTAGCAAAGATTTCAGAAAGGATGCAGAAGGGAAGGTTTCCTGAGAAATGTATATGTGTGTGCATTTATTTCTACATGAGATGGGGCAGAGGGAATTAGATTCAGGACTCATCCAGACTTTCTTTTGTGCTGAGTGTCTAGGCACAGGTCCTCGCTTTAAAGCTCTGTGTCCAAGTGCTTTTTTTTGTGTCTGTGTCCTGGCACTTTCCCCGCAAAAAACCACTCATTACTGCTGAATTGGAGCAAATGGCAATCTATGGGGGGGGGGGACCAAATTGCCTTTGTTTCTTATTCAGCATTAAGTAGTAGGTTTTCCTGGGACGCTTGCCGATCGAAAAGGTCGGCGGTTCAAATCCCCGCGGCGGGGTGCGCTCCCGTTGTTCGTTCCCAGTGCCTGCCAACCTAGCAGTTCGAAAGCACTCCCGGGTGCAAGTAGATAAATAGGGACCGCTTACTAGCGGGAAGGTAAACAGCGTTTCCGTGTGCGGCTCTGGCTCGCCAGAGCAGCGATGTCACGCTGGCCACGTGACCCGGAAGTGTCTCCGGACAGCGCTGGCCCCCGGCCTCTTGAGTGAGATGGGCGCACAACCCTAGAGTCTGTCAAGACTGGCCCGTACGGGCAGGGGTACCTTTACCTTTTATCTTTCCTGGGGAAAGTGGTAGGACTAAAAAAAGGGGGGGAGTGCTTGGACATGGACCAGGAAAGTGCACACCTGTACCTAGAAAGCTCAGGGCTACAGGTCAATGTGGGTGAACCGTCAGTTTACGTTGAAAGGAGAATTCTCCCAATTCACACTTAGGGAAACAATGTGCGAACTGAAACATAGCCATCTTACAAAATTTGCACTTCTCCAAATTTTGCTTTTTCTTTCTCCAAGGAATCGCAGAGGGTGGGCTGAGGGCTCTGGAACTCTCCCTGGAAATGGGATCTGCAGATATAGGAAGACTGAAATGCTCTAGCCTTTGTTGCTAATGCAGAGTTTGTCGCCCAGACCCTCAGTTATGGGTGATTTTGTCATGGAAGAGGATATAGCACTCAGGAGTCTGGATCTCACCAACCGGAACAGAACAGGCAACTCTTGACTCCGCCCAGATATAGCTAGATCCACAGCCACCTAGTGACTAAACTATGTAATGACACTATCTTTACCACTTCTGACACCATGTAGTCACAGTGGTTGGCACAAATGTATTTGCTAAGAGTCCTGTGAACCTGATTAGGAGTGTTTTAAACTAAATCCAGATGATCCAGGGAGCACATGGTACTGAGGAGAATGGCTTCATCAATGCACAGGAAACTGAGGTGGTGTTACAGAAACCCGCTGAAGGGCAGGAAACTGCAAGAAGGAAGCAGCTGGAAGGAATGGCTCATGGCTTCAGTTGTGTCTATACAAATGCACAGAGTATGAGAAACAAGCAAGATGAATCTGAGCTCTTAAGTCAGGGTGGCAAATATGACATAGTAGGCATCAGTGAAACTTGGTGAGTTAAGACATGATTGCAATGTAAAAATTCAGGGATATAAGCCGTTCCAAGGCAATAAATCAAATAGAAAGGGGGGAGGAGTAGCATCATATGTACACTTGTGAAGAGATCCATGTCCTGGAGCATGAAAAGCACGGATGCCACATGGAAGATGAAGCAAGCTTGTTTTCTCCTGCTCCAGAGGGTAGGACCCAAACCAATGGCTTCACATTATAAGAAAGAAGATCAGGAAGAACTTTCTGGTAAAGCTGTTGGACTCCCTTGGAATGGTTGAATGGCCATCTGTATTGGATGCTTTAGCTGAGATTCCTGCATTTCAGAGGGTTGGACTAGATGACCCTCAAAATCTCTTCCATCTCTTCTATGATTCTGTGATATGGGCATGAGCTATGGATGAATTAATTAGTCTCTTTCTAGTCCATGTTCTTTCAGTCTTAAGTGTGTAAAAAGATTGTGGTTTTGTATATGCTTTATGCTAAAATATGCATTTTTATATGCATTTTGGGTTTTTTCATAGATAGATGGATGGATAGATAGATGATAGATAGATAGATGATAGATTAGATAGATAGATAGATAGATAGATAGATAGATGATAGATAGATAGATAGATAGATAGATAGATAGATAGATATAGATAGATAGATGATAGATGATAGATAGATAGATAGATAGATAGATAGATAGATAGATAGATAGATGATAGATAGATAGATAGATGATAGATAGATAGATAGATAGATAGATAGATAGATAGATAGATAGATAGATGATAGATAGATAGATAGATAGATAGATAGATAGATAGATAGATAGATAGATAGATAGATAGATAGATAGATAGATAGATAGATAGATAGATATAGATAGATAGATGATAGATAGATAGATACATGATGGATAGATCAAGATCACAAGATCTGGGGAAGTGCAAAAGCTGAAGGACATCTGGGTATTAGAAAGAGCATAAGCTTTGAATATGGAAGGTCCCAGCTTCAGTCTCTCGCCTCTACAGGTAGGAATGGGAGGAACTCCCACCTCGAAATGTTGAACAGCCTCCTCCACCTGTCAAGATTGGCCCTCCAAGGGTAGAACAATAAGGATAAGAACTGCCAGCCAGAAAAAGTCCCCCACTCTTGATTTAAATGAGAGTCATTATTTCAAAACCCAAAGCTATGCCTTTCAATTGATGCATGCAAAAATTATGCAACTCTGCATCCTATATTGGCAGGGGGGTGCTGGTGGAATGGACAAGTGAGGGGGATCTACCACCCCGCTTCTTGCAACGAGGTGGGGCAGGCATGCCTCCTCCACCCCCTCAGACAAAGCCTTTCAGGTCTCGAGAACAGCGTTCAGCTCATGACCACAACCCTGCGCTGACCGTTGTCAGACAGCTGTTCACCCCGCATCTCTTGGCAGGAAGATCAAGGCACTTTGTGGGAGGAAGAAAACAGAGGAGAAAGACTTTGGCTCCAAGGAAACTTAGGTGGTGGGATCCAAAGTGGGACCTGGACTCAGTTGTGCCATAATTCAGTTTCGTCTGCAGAACAGTGAGAAGCTGTGTTAGCTGTCATCCTTGGGGGCTGTGTGCTCCCCTTTCCCATGGAAAGGAAAGAAATAATCACTCAGTACAGCCTTTGCCAAGCTGATGCCCTCCAGATGTTTTGGACTACAACTCCCAGCAGCCCTGCTGGGAGTTGTACTCCAGAACATCAGGTTGGCAATGGCTGATTTGATGTATTATGCTTAGGGGAAGATGCACTCCTAACTCCAAGCTTTTGCACAGCTAAGCATGAGGTACGTCTCTTTTACACAGAGGTAGGGAACCTGTAGGTACACGGATGGTGCTGTGGGTTAAACCACAGAGCCTAGGACTTGACAATCAGAAGGTCAGAGGTTCGAATCCCCGTGACGGGGTGAGCTCCCGTTGCTCAGTCCCTGCTCCTGCCAACCAAGCAGTTCGAAAGCACGTCAAAGTGCAAGTAGATAAATAGGTACCACTCCGGCAGGAAGGTAAACGGCGTTTCTGTGCGCTGCTCTGGTTCTCCAGAAGCGGCTTAGTCATGCTAGCCACATGACCCGGAAGCTGTACACCGGCTCCCTCGGCCAATAAAGGGAGATGAGCACCGCAACCCCAGAGTTGTCCGCGGCTGGACCTAATGGTCAGGGGTCCCTTTACCTTTAGGGAACCTGTAGCGACCCAGACATTGCTGTACTACAACTCCCAGGCACCCAGGGAACTGGCCATGTTGGCTGGGAGTGATAGTGGTTGGAGTCCAACAGCATCTCAAGGGCCACAGGTTTCCCCCATGCCTGCTTTAACAGGTACTGAGACAGTGCCATCTCCAAGAGTTTTGGCAGATTTAAAGGCTCGTGGCTCTGCAGAGAAACAGCTTGAGAGTCAGAGGGTGGGAGCCTGGGATTCACAGCTGATGCTGGCAAGGAGGAGCCTTTGAAAGGTCCCAAAGGTATGTCGCTGCTTTGGGAGAATTCATGGGACTTTAAATTGATGGGGGCTCAGCTTCTCTGTTTGCAAACAGGTCTCACCAAAGCATTCTTGATTCATTGCATTTCTGTCCCACCTTTTCCTCCCAGGAGCTCAAGGTGGCCTCCATGGCTCCTCCCCTTCCTCATTTAATCCCCACAACAACCCTGTGAGGTGGGTTAGGCTAAGAGGCAGTGACTGTCCCAAGGTCACCCAGTGAGCTTCATGGCTGAGTGGGGATTTGAAGCCTGGTCTCCCACAGGTCCTCTAAGCATCCTAAGAATTACACCACCTCAACAAAGCGATAGCTCAGTCAGTAGAGCATGAGACTCTTAATCTCAGTGCTATGGGTTCGAGCCCCACATTGGGCAAAGGATTCCTTCCCCTCCCTGCCCCTGGATTTTTTATTAAAGCTTACACAAAACAATACTATTATATCTAGAAGAAATGAAATGAGAGAGAGAGAGAGAGAGAGGAAGGAAGGTTGGGCAAAAAAAATCCTGAATTGCAGAGGGGTTGGACTAGATAACTCAAGTGGTCCCTTCCGACTCCACAGTTCTATGATTCTTTGCCCACACTAGCTCACAACGGGATGCAATGCAATGAAGTCTCCAATCATCTTTCCATATAAGAAGGCTGATGTTTCTTAAAGGTGGATCCTGGAACTTCAGTGTGGTGT